GGTTAGCGTTAGCCCTTAATGGGAAAATCAATAGCACAAGCGCTAAACTAGGTAGAGGAATGCGGGTAAAGGCTACGCAGGAGGTCTATAATATTCCTCAGGGGATAGGATTAAATAAAGAACTGAATGCTTCTGAGCTAAAGGGCTTCGTCTAAATTGCCACACTTAGATAAAAGCAGATAAAAGAGCACATTTAAAAGCCTGTGTATCAGTCTCTGTATCTTCTGCTGCACACACTAGGACGCAAATAATATGAGGATACGGGATCATCGTCTAGCACACAAGCGAATTTTACACTGAGAACACACTTTGCACATTAAGCACAAAAACAAGAAGTGAACACAGCTAAATATGTACTTGAATCTCTTTCTTTTTTCTGATTTTAGATGCGTATTAATTCTAATTTGTGAAGAAAAAAAATTCTAATCTGTGGTCACTTTCGAAGCAGTTTTTACTTGTGGTGTTGCATTGCCGTGGATTTTATTTTGACTTATTCACAGTCTGGGTCTGTTATATTGCTTCCACCCCCTGTAAGCTCTGTTGCTACAGAAATACCCAGGCACATAAATACTAGAGGGTAATAAATAATAAATCCCTGCTTTTATTAAACTGAAGCTTTATTATTCATTTGTAATCCACAGCAGAGGCATGTCTGAAAAATGAATACTTCAAACAGTTTATTACAGCTTATTAAATCTACATATTTAAGACTTTACTTTTGTAATTATTACTTTGAAATAAAGCTAGTACTAGCCTATAACGTTCTATCATACTTTAAGATAAATTAATAAAATAAAAAAAGAGCAATAAAATTTCACAATGAATCTAATTCACTTTATATAAAAACGTATCACTATAGATACTTCCTTAAAAATGGATAGGTTTTCTCCCCTCGTCAGTTTCTGAATGACAGATGAATGCCATCTAAGACAGATACATCTCTGTTAGCCTGCGTGTGTCCCACAGTCTCATTACTGACCTTTTTTAATCAAGGGGAGACCTTAATCTACCCTTTCACCTTCTCCTTCAACCAACCAACCCCCTCTTCCTCCTCCTTAAAACACCCCTTTTCTCTCTCTCATTCCTGTAGCCACCCCCTCCCCCTCTCTGCAGCTTTAAGATATATGGCTCATATCGGCACCCTGATAGTGCTTTAATGTACTGTGTTTATGTCACAGGCCACAGACCCTTGCCCACTGCTGCTGTCCACTGTCCTGCCAGAGAATGCTGAGGGACCAAGCAGGCCTGCCAGCAGCTGAGAACAGTCTCTAATCTGATAAAGATTTTCATTTACACTGCAATCAATAACCTGGGTCTATCGGCAATGTAACTATTTATACAAGCATTCCTGGCTCTTCATCGATCAAGTGCGGGAAGCCATCATTTAGCAGTGTGTGTGTGTCTGTCTGTCTGTCTGTCTGTGCACATGTGTGTGCATCTCTGTCTGTTAATATGCCTGTACCTCTTTTTGTGCTGCTAATTGTGGTGATGTCAATTAAGCACACATGTAACACCTGAAATCCAACATGCACAGGCCTATTGCTGTAGTTGTTTTTTAATATTGAGATACCAGTGGCGCATTTGTTATTATCTGTTAGATACAACAGAAGTTGCAACATAAAAATCATGTGCAAATATACAACAAAAAGTGTATTCCCGGATTCCCTAGACTGGTGTGTGGGTGTGGGTGTGTGCACGAGTGTGTGCTTGTGTGTGTTACAAGGGAGAAGAGAGAGCAGGGGTGTGAGAAGGAGAGAGAAACAGGCAGAGAGAAGAGTTGTGAAGCAATACTTTAGGAAAATGCCTTTTGTCTGCCCGTGTGGGACCTGGATAAACACAGTTGGATATGGACAAATACTGATTTTTATACGTGAAGACTCGGTGGACCATAAGCCAACGACCTCCTCGCAGTCTCAAGGTAAAAGCACTGGTATTTTAGCATTAATCTGGGACCACAGTAGCCGGCTGTTGGGAGAATACCGGAGGGGCAGTGGCTTGAATAGTTCACTCCCCGTCTCTGTGTTGTCAAGCCACTGACCAACCATCAGCTCCCACACTACTTCAGCCTTTGTTTACAGTGTATCCTAGCCCGATTCATCAAAAGCCGAGAGTGATCAGTAACCAGTAACAGGTGACCTAACGCACAAAAGCTCGATTTGTGAGAATTAGAGGCTACACTGACCAAACATCCCCTCCTCCCCACCGCCGAGTCGCGTCCCTACAGCTCCCTTTAACATCGTAAACAAATGACACACTTACATTTCTGCAGCGACTCTGGTACAAAGCTCCGCACGCTGAATGTGTAGTAGTCCAGAAAACAATCGCGCAGAGAGTCCACTCATTCCTTATGAATGATCCTCTGCGTTTTTACGGAGCCAGGAAGAGAAAAAAATGGGGAGAGGGAGAGAGAGCAGCGGGGTCCAAGTTGTTACCAAACAACAGTGTAATTAAAGCTACATATAGGCTGTAGTAAACAGAAGATGGGGGGACGGAGGGGTTTGTGCGAGCTCCAGAGGTAGAATGAGTTCTGATCACTGTGGGAGGAAAAACACTTGGCTCTTTATTCCTGCTAATTAGTTTCCTTCAAAAAATGGCTGAGATTACGCCCAGTGCGCATGTGCGTAATTGCGCAGACACCGCTAATTAGCCCGTTTGGATCAATAGGATTCCGCGAGAGAGAAGCGAGAGGGAGGAAGGACGGAGGGAGGGGGGAGAGGCTGCCGGGGACGCAAGGAGAAGACGAGGAGAGGAAAATATTTTTTTAAAAGTATGAGATTACAGCCGAAACATTACATTTTATTCTATACTAGTGTGTCGCTGCTGGAAATTCCAATAGGCGTATCCATTTAGATGGATTCTAAGAAACAAATCCACCCATTTAAAATATCTAGAAAGGAAACAGTTTTGCAGAATTTTTTTAAAATATGTAATTCTACCAAAACACACATCGGAATGCTGTAAAGTATAAAAACGGCGAACTAAAATCCACATCAACAAAAAACATTTAATCGAGAGGTTTTTTACGAATGTGCAAAAATGGAAAACCTGCCGCAAAACGCGACGCTGTCACTGTGCTTCACTGTGAAGACTGGTACAAACACACCAAAAGGCCCTCGAGGATTGTTTTAGAGATATCTTGTTGACATTTGTGCCTGATAAAGCACAGGTTAGACGCCCAAACGTATGCATAATGCCATGCGCCGAAATTACACTATTTTACTAAATCTGTTTGCGATCATTTGGCTCGTAAAAGTTAAAAACTGTGAAAAACTGAAGGCCTTGAAGAGATCTAAAATGTATATTTAGGTCAACAAAGAAAAAAAACTATTATATGGTTGGATATAGGCTGAGAAATAAGGTATTTCATCCTTTTCTTTTTTTGGATTGATCAGGTTAGTCGAAGCAGTGGACTCGAGTTTGGCACACTGGCTTGATGTTACTGGAAAGAAAAATTATCTGGAAAAAGTCAAAAATATATATATTTAGGCTAAAGCTAAATTATTGTATCCATTGCTGTCACAGAATCACAGAAGACCTTTAGCCAAGCAGGGTTTTGTTTCCTCTCCGGCCGTCCATCCTCGCCACCGAAATCTATTGTTATGATAATACTATTGTGAATTTCACGCTGGATGTGCAATCTGTCGATCGTCCATATTTTAAAAGGTGAACACCGCATTTAAATTTAAGATCCATAGCATCTATTTTCTTCCCTTTTATTTCTTTTCTGAGCTTTGTTTGTCAGAGCTGATCTCGTCCTTATTTTACAATTGTACATTTTTTCCCCCCCACAAACGTTAGTCTTCCTGCAAAAAAGTCCATATATAAAACAGTCTGTAGATTCTCATATTTGATTGAATTTCCACAGAAGCTTAAATGAATATAGGTTTCTGTCAGCTCACTGTTGCGTGAAGCAACCGCACTATTAGGTCATATCGGAATAGGAAAGTCATGAATATAAATTTTTTATAATTATTTGTTCTACCTGTGTTAGATTTAAGTGCACTGACATTTTATTTGTGATTCTCTTGGTTGTCCTCGATTGGTCACTTAAGACATTGCTAAAAAAAATGGCCTTCGTTTGGTACATCTGGTAATTGTTTATGAAAATCTCGAAAACCTGAAAAAAGACGTGATAGTATATATATATATATATATATATATATATATATATATATATATAAAATAGGAATAATAAAAAAACCAGTGACAGATCTGTTGTGTGTGGTGTGCATCGTGGCCTCACAGCGTGAAGGTCCTGGGTTTGAATCCACCGACCTGCTGGGGCCTTTTTATGTGTGGTTTGCATGTTCCCCTCGTGTCTCCGTGGTTAATAACATGCGTGTTAGGTTAACTGGGGATTCCAAATTGATCGCAGGTGTGAATTGTTGTGTCTTTATCTGTTGGCCCTGAATAGACTGGCGACCTGTCCAACGTGAAGTCCGCCTCTCACCCTGTCACAGCTGGAATGAGCTCCAGCAAAATCGTGGATGGATCAGTTGTTTTAGTGCCAGCATGGATTTTCTGCAATTTGTTCGTGACAGTATACTATTTTATCATTTCATAACGTTAGGCCAGACATTGTGTGTGTGTGTGTGTGTGTGTGTGTGTGAGAGAGAGAGAGAGAGAGAGAGAGAGAGAGAGAGAGAGAGAGAGAGAGACGAATATGTGTAAAAGGTTTAAATAACAGCAAATATAAAATGTTAATTGAAGCTTTTGCAATGTGGCTATATGCTGTTTGGAAATGTTTCTGTTTGCTCATACACATTCATGTTTTTACTGATTTTAGTTTGTCAGATGTTTGTTTCTTATAAATGTAACAGAGTAACCTGCAAGAACAAAACATACAAGGGAAATATGTTTCCCTGACATTTTCAGATACATAGCCCATTTGAATTTAGTCAAATTACCCAAACCTTAGACTTGTATAATGAGTCCAAGGCCTTCAAATGATCTTTGTTATTACTGGTATTGCTTATCAATATAGATTTTCATTTGCATTGAATTTGCAAGTGTTTTTCATTAAAACAGAAAGGCGGGCGAACACATTTGATGTCTGTCTCGGTGTGAGGAGAACATGTCTGTATGCTTTTGGGCACAATCCACCTCAACAGCGATCCTCATCTAAAAGGTTTTTTTTAAATAGAAAAAAATAGAATATTTTTCCTCATCGGTTTGAACGTACGTCGATTCAGCACAGACGAAAGCAGCGCCGCTCTCTGTGACTGCCACTGAGTTCATTTCCATAGATATAAGTGTAGAGTTGTAATAATGTATTAAAGCTGGTGTGATTGTACATTCAAAATTCACACTCATCCCATCTTTTGCCTAAACACTCAAGTATGCACAGGCTGTAATGTTAAATGTGCCAAGCTTCCCATGCCCTCAGGTGTATGCCAGGGGTTTGTTGTTTTCACTGTAATATATAGTTAGCCCTTCCACCAATTTACCCTGTCAGTACTAATGGGGCAATTAACCATTGTGATACCCCCCAGGCAGAAGGAACAGCAAAAGCTCCACAACTCCAAACTTGTCTTTATGACATTTATATGACAAAATATGGGGGGAAGCTGGGGACCCATCTGACACCTTGGAGGGTCCTTAATGTCACTCCCTCACTTACCTCCGCCCCTTTCTGCCCCAGGGTATGGCACTGAGAAGGAAGTGTAATGCATCATGTGTGGACAGGCTCGGGCCTCTTCCAAGAGAGAGGAAACTTTGTACTACATCCAAAGGCTCAGTGGGACAACACTGATTTAGTCCTTCACGCACTCTGTCCCGTACTGTGGGATTATAAATGTAAACTGCCTCATATGCAGACACACTTCCAGTCAATACACTCTGGCTTGACCTCACCTTTCACTCCTGCCTTTTTGGGTGTCTCTTTGTCTGCGCTCACATTCCCCCTGTCCTTCTTACATCCCCAAGGAGGCAATAACCTCCCTAGCAAGAGCTTCCCCTTGAGCCGTTGTCATAGTAACTAGTAGGCTGGTCGACATGACAACCCCTACCATGGTCCAGAGATAGATGATAGGCCAGAAACGGGGAGGGAGAAGGCACATGGGAGATTTGCACCCCCCACCCCGCTTTAATTTGCTTTGCCTGATTTTGATTCAAAATCTTGTTGTTTTTTTCTCACTAAGGGTGAGGTTCAGCCAGCTTCAGTCTCCTTTCCAGTTGCACAGGTATTTATAGACGGAAAACACTCTTGGTGCGTGAGCAACTTCACTAAAAAGAGACTTGATCAGATTCATGAAACTTGGATGGATATTGTTGAGAAAAATTGTATTTCTCAGCAACTTACAAAAAACAAAAATTTAGGTTTCTGCTACAAAATGTTACAGTAATAAAACAGGCCTCACAATGAATTGTTAGTTTTGTATAACAGATCTGAACAAACTTAGTCATTTTCTTCCAGAGTAAATCAGTATAGATGATAAATGCAAACAAAAATTAAAAATAAGGATTTTGCAGGGGTGAAGTTTCTGTGCGATTAAATATAGTAGGCTATCTAATCCCCAGACTTCCTAAGATTCCCTAAATCTACTATTAATGCCCCAACACCAGCCGATGTGCCGACTTAAAACAAGTTAACAATTACTACACTTCTCTTAGTCGATGTTAACCTGGCTTTCAGTGGAAAAGGATTTGTGAAAAACAAAATTCAAAAATGTATTTACCCAAATAATGACCTAATATTGCTAATGTGTAAGGAGCTATTTGTCACTTATAGTTAATTGAGTAGATTTGCACAAATTTATTTCACATTTTTCTATTTTCTGCAGCTGTTTTGATAGTATATAGGCACAAGGAGTTAAAATGGAGGACTCTGTGAGAAAAAAGAAGTCCTCTTTAGACACCCTAAGTGGAATGATGAAACCCAACCAGCATCGATAATGCTGACCCTCAGCTGACCCTGATCTCTGACCCCAGAGCAGAGGGTAGCCAGGAAAAAGAGATTTTCCCATAGAGATCAATGAGTATCATTTTTTCCCCTTTTTGGCTATTAAATATTGTTATATATTTCAGGCACGTCAAATGTATTGTAGTTATCAAATACATATAATAGTCATTATGATTATGTTACAACAAAATTTAATCCAGGTGAGCATTTTAAGGACAAAAATATACAAAAGAAGTCAGAGTCAACTGAATGGCAGATGTGTTAAAAACAACAACAACATTTCAGCTTTTAGGCTTCGTGGTTCCACTGGTGAGCATTTGTCCTTTTCCAACTGAGCACAGTCCGCAAATTAATATGGCTATTAGGTGCAGTTTCTGAGCATTTTTATATTTCTTACTTTAATCATATAAATGATTTTGGACAGCACACTTTCAGCTCGATGTTTGCTTCTGAAGCGTTTGTATTAGTATGCCTCCATTCACTTCTGCACAGTAACCTAAAAACACTGAGATGCTCATGTTTTTCCTGAGGGGTTGCAGCATTTGTTGATGTCACAAACCTCCAGTGTTTCATTTAGTTCTTAATATCGCTCCACTTTTATTCTTAATTTAACTGTGTTTGTTTGTGTGGCTGTTTCTTATATGCTTTTGAATATGTGTGAGATCTGAGTTTCTTTTCATTTTTTTATGCCCCTGTCTTTGACAGATGGATTTCCCCTTGGGGATCAATAAAATGTATCATCTTATTCCATCTCATCTCACCTGATCTCATCTCATCACCATGTCGACCATGGCCTCAAAACAGGAGGGCATTAATAACACTAATGGCAGATGGAGGTCATGAGTATGCCTACAGGTAGCCAATATTTAGATTCAGAGTTCTCAGCTGTTGGCAGAAGACACAGACAAACAGACAGATTTAAGTCCTGATCATTAAATTTCCAGTTCTCATTAAATAGCTCCGCTCTGAAATTTACCTGCAAAACTGAGCAACACCGCCCCTCGATGGACGGACTTGTAACTGAGCGCTACCCGGCAAAACACACTGGAAAGGCTCTTCTCGGCCACCGTACATTCGCGGAAATTGTCAAAACATTACTAAGCCAGTGAGTAGCGGTTTAGCTCGATATATTTTCTTAATTAAACATAATTTATAACCTACAATATTTTTTTTTCATTACAGGAATTTGAGTATGGAAGACGAATGGGAAGAGGAGGTATGAAATGCCACCAATTTACTAGTAGTTCCCATTCGATGTAGCCCCCTGAAGCTACCGCATTAGCTCAACTGCACATGAGGATACAGAGCCGTTTGATAGCGTAACATTTCCCAAGTGCTGGTTTAAGGGACAATCATCACACCAGATAATTTGACTTTTGTGTATTTTTGTATTTAATAATTAACACGAACACGTAAAGAAAAATAACTCTCAGGGGAGTCTGTCTTTCTAATGCACTTTTATGTTTTCTAAAGCATAAATAATTTTGCTCTGTTTAGGAGCAGATTGTTGTGGTGGAGCTCTCTGGTATAATCAACAATGACTTTCTGACCAAGAGTGGGGGCACATGCAAGATACTGGTGAGTTTGAAGCATATTCTGTTGTACTGAGAAAAGAGAAACCTAATTGCTTCCAGTGTAGCTTCATAAATCTACTTTTCTCTTTTGTGTGTAAGGACATTGACAGCGACAGACCCATGATGCAAGTTGGACCGTATGTGTTTGCAGGAGAATATGAAGGTGAGAAATCTTGCAAAATGAAAAAGATTCAAACTGCTTGTACCTGCTGTGTTTGCATCCTGCGAGGATACTTATTCATGTTGATGTCCTTTCTTAGTTCCAAAGAGTCATTTCTAGTCTGATATCTGATTAACTATTACAGATTGTTTGTTCTGGAAATATAAGCCATTAATAGATGAGCATGTGGGTGCTGCTGGCTGATTGTCTGTGAAGTTTTTTGTTGTTTTTTTAATCTTTGTTATCTTTGCCTCTTTAAAGATGCTTTGGGAACTTGTGTGCTGTTTGAGGAGACACCAGGAAAAGGTACCAATTTACTACAACTTTTTCAGTGGTTTTACTTAAGTACTTAAGTTGGGTTTTTTTTTTTTAATTTGTTTGTTTTTGTCTGCAGGAAAAGGAGTTGGTGGTCTAGATCTGAAGTACTTATGCCACACAGCGAAGAAACTGAAAATGCAACGAATCTTTCTTGCAGAGAAGAAAGAGGGTGAAGCAAGCACAGGTCAGCCTGATTGCCCAAATTCAGTGCAGTGCAACATAGATGATCACGTCTAACATTGTTGATACAACTCTGTATACTTTTAGGAGTTAATCAGCACAACCTGCAGTTTTATCTGCAGTTTGATAAAGAATCAACTTTGGAAAATAAAATGCTAAAAACCCAAATATGTCTGTCTGTGTTTTCCCAGCAGGAAGCTGTGATGGTGGGAAACAGATGGACACAACCTGTGAATCCAGTCAAGGAGAAAATGTTAACCTGCGCGACAAGACAGAAGAAGATGGGGACAATGCAGATTTGGATAACTCAGCAGTTGGCTGAGATATAGAGACTTTGCTGTGCCATAAGCTCCCATTGTTACATAAAACACTTTAATTTTTATGGCTCTGAGAGACTCTGTAAGAAAAACAAACTCATGCCAGTTAGATTACACTTCAGAGCTAACCAGGAGACATGTTTGAGTTACTGTTATTTTTACACAATGTGTAATTGTTGCCTTTTTTATACTGAGCCTCTATGTCGGCAAATGTCATGCATAAGTTGTTAAATATTTTATGCAAAACATGAATGTAGTTAAATCACACCCGAATAAAAAACAGAATTTGTCATAGGTTGTCATGTATATTAATTCTCATCATATCTTCATAGGATGGACATACAGATACTGGGTCAGACCCACTCAGCTTAGAATTTACAATAATGAAAATTCCTGAGCAAAGGAAGACAAAACAGGCAGTATAAATTGCTATTTCTCCAATGAGCTACATAAACATATAAAGAATTCAGAGGGGTATATGATTTAAAATATAATGGCTTTCATATTTCTGATCAAATCTACTATTTGGATGGCACTAAGAGTTGGAAGAGCACTGTTGCTTCACAGCAAGAAGGTCCTATGTTTGAATCTTTCTGCCTGTGTGGGTTCTAACCAGGTGCTCCGGTTTTCTCCCACCATCCAAAGTGTATGTTAGGTGATCCTAATTGGCTGTAGGTTTGAATGCAAGTTTTAATGGTTGTCTGTTGGCTTTGTGATGCACTCGTGAACTCTCCACAGAGTCTCTGGCCTCCATTATAAACTGGGATATGCTCAAGCATCCCACGACCCTGTTTTCGAAAAGTGGAGAAAAAATGGATAGTTGGATACTCTGATGACAATATATAGTGGTAAAAATGAGTGGTTTCATATTTTTGATTAAATAGTTGCTCTCACTGGGTTGAGGGTTTTTTTTTTGTTTTTTTTTTTTGTAATTGCAGGCCTTATTGCATTTTGTTCTTTTTCATTTCTTTTTGGCTACACTTAGCAAGTTTATAATTGTGGATTGTATAATTGTAGAAAATTGTTTATTTTTTAAACAAATAAAAAAGCCGAAAAAAACCGACTTCTATTTACTTGTGCTTGTTTATGTGACTGCTTCTTTTATGCGTCTGAATATGTAATAGCCAAGCTTCTCTTCATTTTTGTAGCCTCTGTCTTTGACAAATGAATTTCCCCTTGGAATCAATAAAATGTAACAACATTAATACTATACAAAAAATATATAATTAATGTATTTATTTATTTAAATAATAAGCGACATGTTTAGGCAAAATGTGATGGTTTTGTAGCTGTTTTGACAGTGGCATTTATGAATGAAGTGTGTTTTGTCGCCTTTGAGGACGTGGCGGTTCTTGGCCAATCCAATCAACGATGCTCTCTTGAAGTGGACCAATGAACAAGCGACATCGCATTCGGCTTCTCGTAACCTGATTGGTTGATTTTTGTTCTAGCACAGGAAGTGCATGGGTGTGTTTCCGAGGGGCGGACGTAAGGCTACAGCGACGAACTTTGCAGAAGAAACCGGTGAGTACTCAAAATAAATTGGGTAAAATCTCTAAAAGAAATAGAGTGTATTTCTCCAATAGTGACTTAAAGTGGTCCGTTATGATGGTGCTGACTTATCCGCATTGAGCGCTTTAAATTGCAAGACTAATAGGGGGAAAAACTAGCGGTATCCTGGGTTAGCCAGTCTGCTATTAATGCCTCACCTTGGTATGGATGGTAACGGTCTTAGAAATAACGGTCACAAACTGTTGCTTCTAACTTTAATACAAAAAAGGCAAGATTTAAGTTGTCGAGATAAAAAAAAAAAAAAAGATTATATCACTTGCCACGCTAAAGCCAGTATAATGGTGAGCTTTTTTTGATCACAGGATGATAAAATGACCAAAAATTAGAATATACGGGATAGCAACCCGGCAATTCTGTAAAACCGTTATTAGGTGTGTTTTTGCCAGGTAAACTTACAAAGGTCTTTTAGATATGTGAACAGGTAGCTTAATCTCATAAGTTTGCTTAAAAGCTCAAATCTGTGGATGTTTGGAGCAAAAGATCATGCAGCATGTTTTGAAGAGAAATCTGTACTCAATTGCCATTTTATTAAGTATACCAAGCTTTACGCCGTACAGTAAAATACAATAAATATGTTTTGGTTTAATACTTTGTGTGGAGTGACTGTGTAATATGCTGGGAACTGTCGAGTAGATTATGGTAATAACAATGTGTGGAACACCAGCTTCCAGAAAGCAGCAGTAGAACAAATAAAGGATTGCATAAGCTGTGAAAGATTAGCAGTACTTGTGGTATTTGGCTGCCCTTTGAGTCATATACTGGCAACCAGCAATGAATGAATGAAATCAAAAGACAGGATTAGTACTGACTGCATGCTTTCATGCCATGATAAAGAAATGGGTTTAGGAGGATGACAATGGCTTTTTGGTGACTTTTTTTCTCCCCTCCAAACTCCTGCTCTAGACGGTGCTTGTACGTGCACAGGATGGAGCTGCGGCCACTCATCATGTGTTTTGCTCTCTGCGTGGTTTACGCCACCAGCAAACCCACAGACAAGAAGGACCGTGTGCACCATGATGAACCTCTCAGCAGCCGAGAGCACGATGATACTGAGAACTTTGACTATGACCATGAAGCCTTTCTGGGACAGGAAGAGGCTAAGACTTTTGACCAGCTCACACCAGAAGAGAGCAAGGAGAGGCTCGGGTAACAACACTGTCTTCTGCTTTTTTTTTTTTTAAAGTCATTGGGGGATGTTTGTAATTACCTGAATACTTTGAGGAATTATGCAGATACAAATGAATCCCAAAATTGGTTGAAAAAGTAATTCTTGTGGTACAGTTTGTTTTGATCATGCTTATCTGAGATGACAAAACTTTAGGGGGGGAAAAAATGAACCTTTTCTAATTTTTCTGCTCTTTCTTTCCAGCATGTTGGTTGAGCGTATAGATGAGGATAAAGATGGTTACGTGACTGTTGAGGAAATGAAGAAGTGGATCAAGCACGCACAGAAGAGGTGGATCTATGATGATGTGGATCGACAGTGGAAGAGTCATGACCTCAACGGGGATAACGTGGTGTCATGGGAGGAATACAAGAATGCCACTTATGGATACATTCTGGGTACAGAGGCAGACAGTTTTCGTTTCATACGTTAGCTTTATTTTTATAGACAAATGTACTTTGCCACTCCTGGACTCACACTGAAAAATGCTGTGTCTTCTGACTCGCAGATGATCCCGACCCTGAAGATGGCTTCAGCTACAGGCAGATGATGGCTCGTGATGAGAGGAGATTCAAAATGGCTGACCAGGACAATGACATGAAAGCTAACAAGGAGGAGTTTACAGCCTTCCTTCACCCTGAGGAGTATGACCACATGAAAGACATCGTAGTGCTGGTGAGAGACACACTCACAAAGGTGCTACATACTGAGACCAACTGGATATCTTCCTTATCCTTTCTCACTATGTACTTTTTCTTCTTCTTCTTTTTTTTTAAGGAAACTATGGAAGACATTGACAAGAATGGAGATGGCTTAATTGACCTGGATGAGTACATAGGTGAGTTCTGACAGCCTACCAGCATCATTATTAGTTTGTACCACACGATCTTTGGTGATTGGAGGAAGCAAACCAACACACATATTAAGTTTTATTATATTTTATAGGCCACGTTGCATTTCTAGCACTTGCTTCATCAGTCAATGTGTTCCTGTCTGTTTGTGGTCTAGGTGACATGTACAACCAGGAGGGAGACACCTCAGAACCTGAGTGGGTGAAGACTGAGAGGGAGCAGTTTACTGAATTCAGAGACAAAAATAAGGACGGGAAGATGGACAAGGAGGAGACCAGAGACTGGATCCTGCCCAGTGACTATGACCACGCTGAGGCTGAGGCCAAGCATCTGGTCTATGAGTCTGATGCAGACAAAGTGAGTACTGTAAAATGTCAAAATTACTTATTTCTTTCATTTTGTTCCTTGTGACTTTACTTTTATCTGCACCGTGAGTTTAGGTATAGAAAGTGAAAGTGGACTCATGCCCACACTGGTTATAAAATTTTTAAGTTTTTGAATATGTAGCAAAATTGACTTGACCTAGTAAATTGTTAAATGTGATCCCAAACACTAGTCGAGACCAGACCAGTCAGCAAGATCATGATCAGCTCATACCCGTGTTCAGAAAATACTGGTGTATCTGTAATCAAAACTCAATTGGAGGCCTTTAAAATAGCTTGAAAGGCAGACCATTGTGTTAGTTCAAACATATAGGACAAACTGAATGCCTATAGCAGATGGTTTCTTGTGTTTCTTTTGTCAGGATGGCCGTCTCACCAAAGCCGAAATTGTGGATAAGTATGACCTGTTCGTGGGCAGCCAGGCGACCGACTTCGGGGAGGCGCTGACTCGACACGATGAGTTCTAAAATCCACCTGCCTCCAAAGACTGTGTGCTCTTCTTGTGTGCCACCTTTTGGCCGTGGAGTGTTTTTTAAACAAGATGAGCTTGCCTAATCGAACGCCACAGACAATAATTTATTTGATTTCTTGAATGTGTCCCATTGCATACACACACACTAACATTCTAAGCAACTTGCACACCATCGGCCAGTGTGAGCTCATGTTAAGCAATGCCTCAGATTGGGATATATAATGCCGGCCTTTGCTCTGCTTCCATACACTACCTTTTTTTTTTGCCCATGTCAGGTAAAGGACAAATCAGATATTATTTTCTTTGAGAAGACAGTTTCTTTGCATAGCCTTGATTTGTTGCAAAATGCTTCATGGAACAGAGTTTTAGTTTGTAGCCTACAGAGCAGCTTGTCACAGCATGTCATTCTGTAGTGCATTAGACTGAAACAAAAAGCAGAATTTGTACCATTACTCTGTAATTGGGCTCAAACTAAACTTTACTTGTACTTTGTTTTTCATTTCTTCATATTATTGTGATGCTGGAGTAACAGCTGTTTGTAACAAGGAGGTATATGTTGAATTCCAGTGGCAATGGAGACCATTTGGTCGAGTGCAATACAGTATCATCAGTTGGACCAGGCTTTGTTTGCTAAGCTGGGCCTAAACCTTCCACGTTAACAAAATCTGCACATCCCAACCGACGTGCTTCGTGTTAGCTGAAGGAATACAGATGAATTTAGGGACTGATGGATGCTTCGTCCTCAATGCTGCCTCCTTTCTTCTATCTCATCACCTCATTAGTGTGAGTGCGTGTGCGTGCATGTGAATCCGTGTGTACATATTTACTTGTATTCTTGATGACTTGTTTTTTTTGCTTTTATTGTTACAGTTTTGTTTGATTCAGCTGAACTAATTTGTGTGCCAACCAAAATCTTTGTCCTGTTTTGTAAGCAATTTAGTTTAGAAAAAAATGACGTTTCAACATTTCTTTCCCAGATATGTTTGTCATGTTTGTACTATCACTACTAGCATTTATAACCACTGTTAATAATTTTTATGGTATTATATATGACTTTTTTTTACAAGCTCACTGCAGCAACAGCCTTTCACTAGTGACTTTACTGTAAATGAGTTGTTCAGCAAAGTGAGCACTCTAACAATCAGGTCCAGTTTTTGTGATTGAGAACAAAGTCTGAATAAAAATTAAAATAAAAAAAGGAGTGTTTTGGTTTCTTTATTCTTTTGTGTTGGTTAAGCTGTCAGAAGCTTTCTGCTGTATAACAGCTATTCTCTGGAAAGCTAAACATACCAATTGCTCAGTTACTGTCTTCTACAAACTTCACATTCCTAATAAATAATCTTATAAAACATTTCATCATATTAAGTGGAAGCTGAAAAATATCAGTGCTCGTATTAACAGTGAAGGAAAAACACAGTTCAGAATGTTGACCTGCTTGTTGTCTTCCATCCACCTTCTTTTTCAGACATTCATTTTCCCTTCTCAGCTCACTATAATACCAATGTTGGTGTTTTTATATACAAAAGTGTCAGAACTGAGCTGAATGCACACAGTATTTATTGAATGCGGTGAAGTCACAAACTATTCAGAATAGGGCGTGATGAATATTAACAATTTATTCAGAAGCTCTTTTCTTTTGAGGTCTTTGTGATCTTTAGATTCACATTCACTTACCTGATGCTATTCATTAGCAGCCTTAACCTTTAAGTTTTTACAGAAAAATGTTTGTTTTTTTTATTCTGCTTTGATGTACAAAAATGTGAGAAGAACAGGATTTATCTGCAGAATATTCAAGACTGAGTGCTGGCCTGCTACACTGACAAACTTATTAAAGGAAGAATCAGTAGTATGCACAACCTTTCACCTTTTGTATCTTTAGATTTCTAGTGTCTATAACCATCTGTCAGTGGCCTTTAACAACGAAAACTGAAACCATATCTTTAGACACGTTATGCTGAAAGTTAAACTATGGCCAATTCTGACCTGCCTTTATTTCTGAAGTAGCCCAATAGCACGAGGCTGCCACCAGCGTTTTTCACTGTAGAGATTGCATCAACCAGTTCATGAGTGTTTGCCTGATGCTGTGCTTGCAGTTCTTTCTAATGAGTTCAGATTTGTCCTGTCAAATCAGAAAAAGCAAGTAAGTCCTTAAAACACTGTTTGGAAAATTCAAAGCTTGCTTCCTGTGCTCGAGTAGCTTCTGTAATTAAATTAAAAGAGCATTCAGTATAGCTAACTGTAGGAAGAGTCCCTGTGGTCGTAGAATTTGTTTTCTTTTCTTTTTCCCCCCCCCCCACATCACAGTTTATGAAGCCATTTTCCTACCAGGAAATAGTTTCTCCGGTTCTGTAGCTTGATAAAGATCTACAGAAGTTCCTTGGCTTTTTTCCCACTGACATGCAGTGTATGTTGACATAGATCTGAAAAGGTCCATCAGAATGGAGCCTTTAAGAGTAGATGAACAGATTGGGTACTGATGGCGCTGAGTGTTTGAAATACTGAGAGATTAAAACTTCAGATGTGTCCATGCCTGTTGTAACATGTGCTCCCCTGTTCTCTTTGATTTCAAACTGATGTTCCGTGATGAATGTACACATATTTTATACTAATTTTATGCTGTAAGTAAGTACATTCATAAGTGTAAATCTCTTCTCATCAAAATTCATAACGCTGTGGAACCTTAGATGCACAGGTAAGTGGCTTTTCAAATGTGGCTGTGCTTTGCACTGACTCTTTAAATGTAGATTTTGTACTTGTGTCATGTGATGGCAGCTGCTGGGGTTTTAACGGCTGCAAAAAGACGTCACTGACTGGAATGTGACCAGAAAAACAGACATTTGCTGTGATTATCCCTTTGAACATTCTGATTACTGATAAACGATCATCATCAAGTATGTGTTGTGCTCTTTGTTACAACATGTACATAAACTGGAGCTGCATTTATCCCTGTGGATTTAAATGTTAGCCTTACATAGTCCTCTGATATTACAGCAAGTGTTTTGCTTGTGACTAGTACACCCACAGCAACACCACCAACCCCCCATATTCAGTCTGGATGGAATTTTAGCAGCACTTTTCACTGAGATTTGTGTATATTTATCTTTTTGAAGTATATTTCACATATTTCATCATATTCAGGATAAACGCGTATATTTGGTTAGTGTGAAATGTTTGGACAACAAAATCTCAATTTATGCTTACATTTGTTTTAAAACAGTGTGTTCTTTATTTGTATTGCATTTTCATGGTATCCTTATTATCTTATTTAGACTATGACTACTGTATGTGTTATGAATGGATCAGCATGGTGTATTTCATGCTACATGTTACACGTTACATGTTGTTTTACATATAGACTACGGTAATAAGCCACAACTTTCAAACCATGTGTCAAAATATCATGGAGGTTCCACTTGTGTTACTAAAACATTATTCAGAAAAATTGACTCCAGGTCTTCAGTACGTCACGGATGTTCAGTAAGATTAGTATGTGAAGAGTCCAAGTCATTAACTTAGCCTCTTTGTCATGTTTGTGGGAGCCTCTGTGAGCATCATTCTGCTTAAGGAGGCCACTGCTGCCGGGGAGTGCCATCTCACTGGATAGGTTTCCTTAATCTGCAGCTATGCAACTATTTGGGTGAGTGGCACCATCAAAGCAACAGGACTCAGGATTTCCAAGGAGAACATTGCACTTTGGTTTTAATGTTGTAGCTTATTAGTGCAAACACATGCAGGCCTTTTTTTGACGTGGCCCTTCAAGTGCGCTGTGTATACACCCAGTCTTCATTTATGCCTTCAGAACAGCAGAGCCAGCCTTTAGTGCTTCTTTGTTTCTCCATGATTTCTCCATCTTCGTCTTACCTGCGTCATCTTCTGTCACCCGCCTGCGATATCATAGTGACATCACTTACTAAATGTGATAAAAATGGGATTACAACGAGCCATCACTCTCAGCAGCTCTTCTTCGTCTGACTCTAACTCACCCTCACTGTTCTTGTCTGCATCTTCATCTCCTAGAAAACCATCATCATCCTCCCCCACCCTGCGGTCATCTTGGGTGTTTCCCGAGTTTGTCGATGCCCTTCTTTCCTCAGGATGACTGCTACTGTCTGCTGTCCCGTCGAGACGCTCTGATTCTATTTCATCCAGTGACGTAGAGGGTTGGTACACCTCTGTGCTCAGAGCTACCGCCGTTCGCTCTGGTGTTTCTGGTGGCGTCTCAGTGGGAGAGGTATCTATATGTACCAATGTGGCCTTTAAAGGGACATCCTCTGGGGTGGGTGGGGGTGTGCTTGTCTGCCTGGGGATGGATGTGGACAATAAAGGCGAATATGAGGGCGTCTTCACGCGAGATTTACGAAAGGGTTTGTCAATTTCTGCTGAAGCGATTCGGGTACGACTGAATGGAATACTGGATTGAGAGGAGGGGCTAGTTGTTGGGTCAACAAGATCATCATTGGAGCCTGTTTGCATATCCGGGCATGTTACAGGTGGAGTTGTATCAGCGTCATCGGTTTCAGGGCTTGGGCTCATGTTAGATTGTTCCTCAATAGACTCCGGGTTTGATTCTGGTGGGATACCAGGGGTTTCGTTGGGTGGAGCAGCACCCTCAGTTTTATCTGTTGGGCTCACATTTGCAGGGGCTGTAAAAGTGGGCGAAATGCAAGATATGTTTGTTGGTGTAGAAACATTATTGTCAAAGGTTACAGTTTCAGTGGGGATGGAGCTGGTGTCAGGTACAGCTGTATCTGTGGGTGGGGTCGGTTCTTGACAGGGGGTACATCCTTGTTGGATGTAGATTCCTGGGTTTTCAGTAAAGCTGAAGGAAGGATTGTAAGTTCCATATTCTTCACTGTTGTAGGGTACTTCCTCCGTTTGTGGCATAGTATTATGATGACTCATCTGAGGAGTGATTACATTCATCAGATCAACATACAGAGGAATAAAGCTACTTTTTGCACAGAGACACAAAGACGGTGCAAGCAAATCATCCTGAGCAAGATTATTTGAATATGCAGATTGCCCTCGAGTCTCACAGACTTATAAAGTACTCTGAATATTCAAATACTGTATAAACTTTAACATTAGAAATAGTAGATTCGACAAACAGGGTCCATGTGACATTTCTTGACCACACCTTTTGTGCGTGTTATTCTGTAATAGGAAGTTTGAGTTAAATCTGCAGATGAAGGCCATGAGATGGGGTTGGAAATTTTGGAACTAGTGAGGAAGTTGTATCTTGTGTTTACATGAATTTTATTATT